TTCAGTGGGTTTAAAGCAAGATGACAAAAGGAACCTGTAGTTAGTCTGTGAATGCTACATACTGAAAATTACCACTTTTTTTTGCAGGACTTGCCTATAATGCACAATAATAGTCACCAAAGGTGCAATCCTTTGTTCATAGATCTCCGTATCTGAAAAAAAATCCTGTAAAACATACCATATGTTATGTTCTTCCTTTCTTTTTCTTTCTTCAGAAATTTTCTGAACCACCTTTGGAGTAGAAGCTGGTAGATCCAGCACCCCCATCTACACTGAAGAATGCAGTATCTCCCTGCAGTTTAAGGAATGCTCAGACATACTAATTTCTTTTGTCTAATTGCATTGTGGAAACTACTCTTCTTCTTCACCATCAACCAAATCTGAATCTCCTTTAACTGGAAGAAATTTTAACAGCAAGTCCATTTCTAGTTTATTCCCTAAATGCTGCAGCCCAGTATCTGACCTCGTAGGTTCTAACTTTTGTTGCTGTCTCACTTTTCTGCTGCAGAAAGCTAATGGTCTTTATACAAGGCAACTTCCAAAATGTGGATGGCTGTGTAAAAGTGTGAGTGTTGGTTGCTGAATGTGCAGAGCATGAAACACAGAGAAAGAAGCAGCAGCTTGTTCTGTGCAGTGTGATCACAACCCCCCAAGTTTCAATGTTGTCTAGATGATACCTCTGATAACCCCTTATGTACAATCCAGCACAGATGGAAACATGAGTGCTCTTTCATCAGCTTGAAATCCAATCAGCACCCATTACTTCCACGGAGAAAGAGAAAGTTGCTGGGTTTAATGGCCTAATTCACTTTCCAAAAAGCCTCATGTCCCAGCAGATATAGGAACCTTTTGGATGTCTTCAGACACTAATGACTCCATTAGTTATGGTAACTCATATTCCCAACTGAGCTTCATAACCGCATGGACTTTTCCTCACATCTTGCAACATGACCCACATATAAACATGGACATTTTTGATTTACTTACCATTCTTGGCACTTCCTTCCACTGGTCTTTATCTGTAGCCAGGATAGTGTTTTGTCTTCCAACTTTATGTCAAACTAAATAACACAACAACAACAGCAACAATAATAATAATAATGTTAACACGATAAAATGATCTAACCATTAGAAAATTATGTCAAAGAGCTTTAGAATAAAATTGAGAGAGCCTGAAAAGGACAACACAAATATTTTTCACACTTACAAGATTTTAAAAAGCAATTCAGCATGATATACTATGTTCAGGGAGCACCAATCACAAGGCAAGGCTTTCTTGATTCTGGTTTGTTTTGAGTTGTTGTCTTTCTCAAGTTTTTCTTTTTTCCTCTTTTCCCTGCAGTTACCCTTCTCACTCTTCAGGTTGCCTCGGTGTAGAAATGATGATCCAAGATCACAGCTATCAACAATACGTGGAAAAGGAAGAAATATTGTCTGCCTGCTCAGGCTGGTCTTCCCAAAGGTGTGGATGTCACTAAGACCAGATCAGATAGTTACTATCAGACCTGCCTTCTTCTTGTACCCATATAGCATATGGAGAATAGAAGGCTCGAGACAACTTAAAAATAGTAAGTATATCCTCCCTGCCTTTCCTCCGCCCACCCAGTCTTTTTCTAGATCTCCTAAAAATATGGGTAGAGAGATCAGTTATTCACTTACACTGAATATTAATTGCTTTTCAGGAGTGCTTTTGCACAAATATATCAGCCTGAGTAAAGTGACAACTCCCTCGCTACGCCTGCCTAGCAATTAGGAGGACTGTTGGTTTGCCTTCAGAGTATAGGACTATGGTTTCAGTAAGTCTAGCTGCCTTTTTTGAGCTGTTTACAATGTTTACCTATCATACGTTCCCTGAGACTGGGCACATAACACATTCCGAGGCATAAATAACCTGTGAAATCCTGCTGTGAGAGTGTATGAACGACCTACAACTCAGTAAACACAAAGTCAGTTTGAGAGCTATACATTATCACCAAAAACTAGAGGCCATTGTATTGCTGGAGTGAAAACAAAAGTACTGCATGAGAGAGTAGACAGGAAAACTGCAACACGGTATTTTCACATCTTTTCAGCAAAAGATTCAGGAAGGCTTCCAAATTGTGGGTATTTTGTAACCCACTCTAAATCCAGCTTTTGCCCTATACCAGATCAGAGTATCCATTTCAAGGGAATCAACCTAACTAAGAGCCAGTGCAGCCTTAGAAAAGATATCCCGTTGTGCACTCTACAAACGCTTACTCTCGTGGCACATTTATTTAATATACAGGCATGCAAGAACAGATCCACTGTTCTGTTTTGCACTGCTTACTTTCAAGGACTCCCATTTTGCCTGAGACAGAACAGTTATAAATAATTTTAGAATAAAATGTTAGAGAATAATACTCTCTGGTTGCTTCAGTCCAATAAAAGCCAAAGCAACCATAAAACTATCATGGAAAAGGGCAATCATTGATTCTATGAGGATAACACTTTATTACAGTGCCTTGTTTCTATTACACCAAAATAAAATAAATTCAAATATCTTAGTCCTTCTTTATGTATAATTTAGCTTACACATCTAATTTTGGCCTTTTTTAAATGACCTTGGAAAGTCAGAAAGATTACATTTCTTTCTAATGCTGAACTCCGTGTGGAACACAGGGGTATTTCAACATAAACATCATGATTTATGTGCTAAGTTGTAAACTAGACAGTATAATGTTTCAAAATCAGTTCCTGCTTCCTTCATTTCCCTCCTAATGTTTATTACTGAAACGTTGAGTCTTTCCCAAACTAGAAAAGTTACATCATAAAAGGTGATAATTTCTACATTTGCCCAATCTGAACATATACCTGTGTACTGATAGCTGATCCGGACTAACTGAAAAAGTCTCACTTTTTCTCAAAGACAAAAAAGATACGTATTTTTTCACAGACATGAGTTTTATACATCGCATTTTGGACTATAATGTCTCAAGACATTATCTTCATTTCTTTTAAGGACATCAACGGGACATTTAAAAAAATAAGTGAGAAATTAGAGAACATCTGAGTTCCTGATTACTCATTGTCTGAAACTTAAGTAAAGCTAGACAGATTCCTAAGAGAATTAATTAGTCATCTTTAGGACCAAACAATATGAAAAACACTGACAATATCAAACACTTGTGCAGATACACATCATCCTTTCATAATTATTATTTAAAAGTAACTATTCAGGAAGTCCATTGCTATCTTCTCCCCAGTATATTAATTATAAAAGTAAATAAAATATGACTAACTTGTTTCTAGGTTTTCGTTATTGGCTGCTTTATAGCTGAAAATATGTGATTTACTAGCTTTAGGCAGTACATATTTGCAGTTAGATTCTTTTCAAAAAAGGTCGGGGGGTGTTGGAGCACTGGACATGATTCAGATTTTAGTGTGCACTGATTGTACAAATGTTTAATTTTTCAGCCATAATCCACTTCCATAAATGTGATCTGAGTCAAGTAAGATGTAGCTGAAAAGCATGCTTATTTTAAATTTTACCAAAATATGTTATGGCTATTTAACAAATGAATCATCAATTTTACTTAACATAATTCATCTTGAAACTTATATGTGCATATGTATTGTATCCATTATCACAGATCACCAGGAATATGCAGTCAGTACATCCACTAATCATCCATGCAGACACCTTGGAAAAGGGCAAACTTTGAACTATGTCTCAAACGGTATACATATTGGAAGAAGAAATTCTGTTTCAGAAGGGAAATGCCATAAAATCATCCCTGCACCAAAAATAATAGCAATAAAAAAAGCTTACTGAGTTCATTTAAAATAAACAAGGACAGAATTACTATCTCTGATGCAAAAAAGAGGCAGACTACTTTTATGAATGCCATAAAAATAAACTATTTTAATAGATACATAAATAAAAGGTTTAAAGTAGAATTTTCCCCCAAACATAAAGGTGGCCTAGCTTCTGTACAGAAACTGAACAATATTCATGTGACTACTAAATTAAATAATCACTTTGTTACATTCAAAATAATTGGAGGCAAATACATAATGAAATGATGCACCTGAATCATTCTCCTTTCTCATCCTAGCAGTGTATACAGTATTTTCTTGTTTTACAGTACTCTGAGAATATGGATCTGTTAAATAAAACTCTGAATGACAGAGTGGAAAGAAAACTAAAAATCAAGGGAAAAAAAACCTCAGACAATCCTAGCACCCAAAGGGGTACCTTGCATCACCCAGTAATTAAAGATTTAATGGAAGAGAAATAAGTATTGTGCTGTAAAATAAATTATGTGTTTTACAGATTGCTGTATAGTTATCTTAAAGTGTTTAAATATTACATTCACTTTGGTGATGTTTTTGTCTATGCTTATAATAAATTATACATGGCGTGTGCTAGCTGTTCATGTGTGTTGAATAACAGCCTTCTGGTTTTACTTCAAATGGGGGGAGCTTAGCACATCTAGGAAATTTTAAAGATATTTCTGATTTATGTAAGGCAGACAAAGTCTAATTCAAAGCAGCTTTCCTCCCATCATGCCCCCCTCCCCAGCATCTCTAAAAAGTTACTCCGATGGCTTCATGTTTTTGCTGTGTCGTATCAAAAAATGTCATAGGTTGCTGACTAACACCTTCTGACCCACAGAGGTTCTCAAGTTTTGTTTTTCCTTTCTCCTATGAACCATCTGTCAGTTTGAGAACATCTGCCATTAACACCTCCATATTCTCCAAATATTCCAACTAATTTAGGCAAGAAACCACCATTTGTCCATCAAAAATGAGTTTAATGAAATTAGGTGTTAATGCCATTATTATGTGGAATGTAGCTGTGATGGGTGAGCACCATTCATCCTGCAGAGGAGAAAGTTTGTCATGTGGACGTTTCTGTACACTCAAGGCAGAGTGTTGGGATATCTCGTGCTGGTGAAATCAGAGAAAACATTAGAAGATGACAACTTTCATCCATAGTGCAGTATATTCTAGTATATTCTGTCAGAAGTTCAAGAAAGTTGGGCCAAGCTGAGTTAGACTTGGCAAAAGAGTGTGCTTAGAGTCTATCCACCAGCAAGACGTGAACGGCAATGTAATGATTGCCCTTTTTTCCGAGTTGTTTTTTTCTTGTTCTTCTTTTGCTTATTTGCACCTTTACTTTTATCTGATTTTGTTTTCTTTTTGTCCTCCTTAAACCATGGACCCCAGACTCCTCCATTCAGCTTCGGGTTACTCCGAGGGTCCTTAGGTGGGTATCGAACAGGAACCGCAGTCTTATTGAACTGGGAAAGCCTCCGCAACAGCTGCTTCACTACATCTGGATACCTTGCAGAGAGGTCCACTCGTTCATATGGATCAGCAGTTATGTTGAAAAGCCACACTGTTTTGCCAGCTGACCAAGAAATGCGTTCGTTGTGCCAGCGGTTGGGGCCTGCGTTACTGAAGGCCTGTGGAGGTACCCAGTCGCTATATCCTGGATTTCCCGTCAATAGTTTCCAATGATTCACTCTGATGGCGGATTGAATCGCAGTGTTCCAGATCCCATAGCCAGCTGCCCAGGACCCATTTTTGGCTTTGGTGTAAATTGGGTCAATGTTGTGTAAGATGTCTACCCGTGGAGAACGTCTGCCTTCGCTAATGGTTTCCCATATATCATAGCCATCTAGCTGGATATCTTCATCGATCTGCCCTTCTGCCAGTGTGATCAAAGTGGGGAACCAGTCTGTGATGTGCACAAGCTCCTTACACACAGACCCTTTGTTTTTCAGGAGGGGGCTATGGACAAACCCAACAGCACGGATACCTCCTTCCCAGTAGGTCCCTTTGCTGCCTCGGAGAGGCCAGTTACTTCCTCCGGCCATTGGCTGCCCACCATTATCTGAAGAATATATGAGAATGCTGTTCTCATAGTAACCATACTCCTTTAAAGCAAGGGTTACGTTGTTTATGGCTTCATCCAAACAAGCTAGCATCGCAGCGTATCTTCGCCTGTTGATGTTATTTATCGATCGATAATGTTCAAAATACTTGCCTGGTGCCTGAAGAGGCGAATGAACAGCTTGGTAAGCAATATACAGAAATATAGGTTTCCTGGGGTCATGAGAAGCTAAGATTTGTTGTACTTTTTGTGTGTACATCTGCGTCGAGTAGATGCCGTTGTCATGATCCCAAGCTGCGTTGTCATTCTCGTACAGGTCATAGCCACATATCCCAGGGCTGTCACATTTGAAGTGAGTGTAATAGTCACCGCTGCCTAAGAGCGAGCCAAAGAAAGTGTCAAATCCTCTCTGTGTGGGCATGCATTCTCTGCGATAAAACCCCAAGTGCCATTTGCCGACCATGTGTGTTGAATAACCAACCTCCTTCAGCTTCTGAGGTAGCGTGACGTTATCCAGAGGTAAGCAGTTGGGCTGGGTTGGCCGAATAATGGAGTGCTGAAGGCCCGTGTGTATCTGGTACCTGGAGGCAGGGAGGAGACAGGCATCAGGACGGGGCGAGCGGAAAGCAAGGCTCAGGCCCTTACGCGTGGACGCCCACGCGCGTAACTGTTACAGAAAATATTCCTATGCATGCAGCAGTTTTCTCTGGAAGTATTTTGAAGTGCATATGTCAAAAACTAATGAGGTCATACTATTAAATCTGCTGAAACAGGAGAACAGCATCTGTTTTGCTTCATAAGTGTTTAAGA